GAGGTGCGCTGGCGGATGTGCTGGCGGACCACGCGGGCGAGCTCGTGCGCACCGACAGCCCCAACTTCCTCTGCTCCGTGCTGCCCTCGCACTGGCGCTGCAACAAGACGCTGCCCGTCGCCTTCAAGGTGAGTGCGGGGCCCAGGGAGGAAGGACACGGGCCCTGGGGCTCCGGGCGCCTCCGCTGCAGGAGCCGGGGCCGGGGGAAGCGGGGGAGGAGAATTGCCCGCGACCCCGCAGCTAGAGCCAGGCAAGCTGGGCCACGGGCGCTTTTTGGTCTCGCCGTGCGCTGCGCCCGGAGACTTCGGCGTTCCCTCTCGGACGCACCCCGCGCGGGTGCCTTTTAGGAGGTGTGCCCCCTCCACCTTCCGGGAGCTCTGCGGAGAAACGTTGATGCGGAAACGGACGGATGGGGCTTCGCCCCCCTCCAGCTCAGATCCCTGGACACAGCCCTGAGGGCAGCGGAGAGAGGAGCCCCGGGACGGGGGCGAGGACACCGGAGGTGGGGGTGGGAGTGGGGGTTGGAGGATAGGGCCTACCCTCCACTGCCGGCACCCCTCCTCCTGCACCGCTTCAGAAACACTTCCTGCTCACACCCTCAACCTCTGGCTTCTGAAATTTTACACCGAGCGACTCTGGGCTGGGATCGGGGGCACTGTGCCCTAAACGGTTGCGTCAGGGATCCCGAATGTCAGGCAGAGATTGGGGGGCTCCCACCCCTAGCAGCCCCCAGTCCTTCAGAGGATCTTTTTTCTCTTTGCCAGGGAGTAGGCGACTGTTTCATTTTCATTTTTTTAAGGGGGCAACGAGATGAAACGAAAACGCCTTGGTTTTCCCCTAAACCTCTCACAGCTGCCGTGAGAAAGGGCAGGGCAGGAAGGGCCGGCGGCTGGGGGTGGCGGTGCCCCGAGGTGGCTGGAAACGGAGGCTGCTGGCAGCTGAGGCCGTCCTTGCTCCCATTAAGACGACTCCAAATTGGAAAAAAAGGATGAGTGGCTCTTTGAGGTCTCCCGGGTGACATCTTAAAATACCAGTGGGGAAAATCTCTAGGGGGGAGGAGGGGAAGAGGAGGCCCGTGTGACTTTAATCCTCAGAACCGAGGTTTTACTGTCACTTGGAGCTTAAAAGGAATCTTTGAAATTAAAAGAAGACAGGATGTTGACAGGAAATCTGGCCTTTTTAATCAGACCCTAAACATTTTCTCCTTGAAATTTTTACCATCTGGATCCCTAGTCCCTGCACGCGGTGGCCACGTTTAAATGGCTGTGACTGCGTTTGCAGTCTGATTCCCTTTCAAAAGGCATCTGCCTCTCCATGCTTCTTGGGGGGCGGGGTGGGGGGGGGTGTGGAGATTCCATATTAGGGGGGCATCTCCACTCCCATCCTACAATTCCCAGCAGGTGCATCCTCATGCTACCAAAAGCCCCTCTTTCGCTTTAAAGGAGTTTTCTGTACAAACCCTCTCAAAACACCAGTTTGTTTTGCATTTTGCATTTTCTCTGCATAACGAATTCAGGCTCTGCAGAGGCCGATTAACTGGGCCTGGGCCACATTTCAGGGCCAGATTTCATACCCCAAACGGCTCTTGCTTTAACTGAGTGTGAGGAGCAGTCCTCGTTATTATTGGTGTTGATATTGTTTTTACTTAGAGACTTGGTTGCTAGGAGCATGTTGATTCCTTTTTCGCTCAAGCGAAGGGGAGACGGGAACTGCACCCTACATCACAGTGACTGAGCTCATTCTCAGCTCTCGCTTAGGTTTAATCGAATCGAAAGGATAATTTTGCAGGACACGGCTTAGCCAATCGATCTAGGATTTCGGTATGAAAGGCAGAGATCTCTTTTTGTTATATTTGGGGGAAGGTCTCTATTGCTTTAAGCCTCTTCTCCGCCCAGCATTTGAGAAATCCGCAGTGCGCCTGGGACCTAGGGGACCTGCCCGCCCCAGCCCCTCCCCCCTTTCTCTTGCCTCTCCCTACCTCTCTAAGCTGTCCCCCTGCCCCCATGCCCTCAGGTGGTAGCGCTGGGGGATGTGCCAGATGGAACGGTAGTGACTGTGATGGCAGGCAATGATGAGAACTACTCTGCCGAACTGCGCAATGCCTCCGCTGTCATGAAGAACCAGGTGGCCAGGTTCAACGACCTTCGCTTCGTGGGCCGCAGTGGGCGAGGTGAGTGGAAGGGAGGCCGCACCAGCCGACACTGGCAGTGGCAAAGGTTGGGGGGGAAGGAGGCCGAGAGCGAGGCCTTGGGGGTCCCAATGGGAGCCCCAGAAACAGGTCTCCAGGCCCAGCTCTGGCTAAAACAATGGTTTGGAACCCCTTAGGGTACTACAGATCCCTTTGAAGATGTGAGGAAAGTTAAGGTCTCTTGTCGGGGGGGAAAAAAACCCCACAATTCTCTCCCCGTTTCTGGGGTTTACTAACTCCTGAAGCCTCCCCTTTCCCGATTAAGTGCCCTGGTCTCACAAGAGATGCTGGGAGAAGATTCACAAGTTCAAACAGGAGCCTTTGTGGGTCTTTGAGCAGGTGGTTTAGAGGACAGATCCTTGGTCTGCGGGGGCCCAAGCACCCCAGCCGCTTTCCCCACTGGGGCAGAGTCTCCCCTACACTTAGAGGCTGCTTCTCCACAGCTGTGGTCTCCCATAGCCACAGTTTCCCCAGCCCTTTGAGCCTTAGGTGGTTTAGAAAAGAAGTGAATGCAGTACAGGATGCTGAATGCTAGAAAGCACGGCTTGAAGACTGCCATCTCTCACTCCGGAATCCAGGCTGCTATGCCGCCCTGATCTACTTCGGGCAGTATGCAGGGAGGCAGGACAAGATGCCGCCGCCTTGGCTGCCATGAGGGCCTGTTGAGTAGGAGGGGCTGCCGGGACTTGAAACCCACCATCACTTCTGGGTGGAGAAGTCCTAGAAACTCTGCCCCTAGAGAAATGGGGAAATGAGGGCTCTCTGGCCCTTTAAGAACAGCCTACTGAAAATTGCAGAGCGCCCCTCCCAAGCACTGGCCTGCCCCTCCAGCTTTGTTAAGAGAGTAAGCTAGGTTCCCTCAGCTCCCAGTCTCGACAGAGGCTGAAGCAGAATTGTACTTTTCATCACCAATAAACAAGACCTTTTCAAGGTTTTAGTTTCCTCTGAGCCGCCAGCCCTGCTAGGAAATGGGCATCTGGGCACCATTTTTCCCTCTCCGACCGTTCAATGTATACATACAAATGTCAAACATATTTTGACTTTTCAGCATTAATTAAAACCAGGGCATTATTTGCATGTAATAACTGTTTACTTGTTACTTTTTATGAAACTGAAATAGTTTACATTCTTTCAAACATTTCCTGTTCCTGTTGGCTCCCTTCCTCATGCACAGATTTCTTTCAAACGTTGCCCTTAACTGGTTGCAGGTTGATGGATGGAAAATGTTTGCTTTTATGAATTAAGCTTTCATTGCTGCTCCTAATTAGTCTCCAAGCCCCTTTTGTCATCCCCAATCTCTCAAGCCTTTTGCAACTTAATCCCAGCCCTAGCCCGGAGTGGAGAGTTGCTGGCAGCCACTGGTCAGCCACTGGCTCGGATGCAGCTCAACTGTGACTGCGGGGCGGTGGCCCGTTCTGCCGGCCCAGGTGACGGTGGTGGTGAGGGAGGCCCGCCGTAGCTGCAGCCCCTTGGAAGGCAGGCAGAAGGGGAGGTCAGTCCCTGGAGCCCAGCGTGGCATCAGGATTGTGGCACCATATCCCTTCTCCTGGGAGGTGAGATATGGGAAGAGAATTGATGAGGATTCTCTGAGTTTCCGGGACCTTGTCTGGCCATTCTGCTGCTGAAAACGATTTCCTTGTGGCATGTATACCCACAGACCTGCACGCACCCTGCAAGACTTGCACCGTTGAGCAGCATGGTCTTGGAGCAGGCGCCGCTGAGGCTGGACTGTGGCTCTGGGACATGCGGGAGGCTGAGTCTATAAACGATTGTCATAGACATTCGCTTGCCACTCTCAGTGGTGCTGGGAGGCAGGAAGAGGCCTGAGTGGGAGTTCCGATGCCCGTGGAACCCAACAAGACTTTCAGACCTCGGAAGCGCCTGGTATTAAACAGCCTGAGCTCTAAAACCAGCTGACCTGTATTTCAGGTTCAGCTCTACCAGTGACTTGTGGGATGACATTGGGCAAATGGCTTAACCTCTCTGCGCCTCAGTTTCCTCATCTATAAAATAGAGATAATAATGGTACCTACCTCAGGTGATTTCGTGAAGGTTAAGGAACTTGGTACAAGTGTCTTAGTTTGCATATAACTGAGAGCTGGATACATATTAGAGATTTTGTTACTTCAAATGCCTGGGACTGGAGGAGATCTTTGAAGTCTCTTTGAGTGGTGACAGTCACTGATTCTCTGATTCTGGTGCGGTTTGGGCGGGGGTGGGGGAAACCCAGAGGGTTATTGAGTGGGAACTTGGAGGCGGATGGCATTGAGGAAGGAGGGTGCAGGGGTCCTGTGGCAAACAGCAGCGCATCTGCTGTGCCCATCCTGCACATTGGGAAATTCCCTAGGAGAGAACAAATCAGTGATTGATACAGACAGTTTGGGCCACTTCAGGGGTCAGGACAGGTTGGGGTTTGGGACCCAGAGCCTTTCCCTAGCTCTCTGACTTCTGCCAGTACTAAGAAACCAGATGGAAACTTCCACTTGTTTCCTTGCTTTTTATTCCTGGATTCTGTCTTAATTCCAAGAAGATAGCTTTCCATGAAAGACACACACACATACCACCACCACAGAGCTCTCACTATAAGCCCGAAGGCGTGAACCAAGGAAAAGAAGGAAAGAAACCAAGTCATTGGTATATCCCGCAGTGATTAGGGTTGAGGTCCTCGTCTTGCGAGACCGAGCATCCCCTCCTTACAATAATATTTTGTAATGGCACCCTTTACCTTCCCACAATGAAACCTATAGATAACGTAGCTTACTTACTGAGGTGCAGTTTCAAAATCCGAATCATAAAAATAATTCCATAGCTGTAATGAGAAAAAAGGGAGAAAGTAATTTATAATAAAATATCTATTTGGATATGTATGTGCTGGGTGAGACCACACTGGTGGACAGATGCTTGCACCTCTGGCAGAAGCCCCAGATTGGCACGGCAGGCTGGACAGGAGAGGTGTATGTGACTCAGTCTGACTGCGGCGTTGTCGTCAATGACATGATTTTATGAAGTTGTGAACAATGCTTGACAATGTTCTGAACACATTTTTTTTTAAAAAAAAAATTGTCTTCTCGCCTGGAAAATTCAATAGATGTTTAAAAATTTGCCTTGTTTTATATAAAATTGAGTTAGGTTTATGGCTCAGAGTCTTCATAAGCAAGTTTTTCACACACAGGAAGAAAGAATACTCCACTGCCTTGTGCGTTGCTGGATATTTGCATCCCCCACCCCTTATATCCCACCTCAGTGAGGACCGGACACCACAACTCCCCAAAATGCCCTCGAGGAGACAGCCAGGGGCCGAGGTGAAAGTGAAAAGAGCAGGAACTCCTGGACTGTTGTTAACTCGTTAAAAAGAAATCTAGTATGTGGAGAGCGGTTTGGTATGAGATGTGTAGGTGCGGGTTTAGGGGGACCGCGGATGGGAAAGGAGATAGATGGGCTTCTTGGCCAATGTTGAGAAAACCCAGAGGTCTCCTGAGACCTGTCCCCTCCTGCTATCCATGAAGCCCTGTGGTTGGGGCATATCACACAGGAGCCCTGGCTGAGAGGGACGGGGACCTGCCCAAAGCCACACTGTGCGTGCCAGTGGGTCCGAGGCCCCAGGTCCTACGGAAATGTCTGAGGCCACTCAGAGCACAAAAGGGCAGCTATTTCCAGACTATAGGACTTCCCCTCCGATGGGGGCCAGCCCTTGGAGCGCCTTGATTTGCAATTTCTGGACTCCTGGCTGATTGCAGGTTTGCCCGGAGAGTTCCTGCACAATGTTGTCTACCAACATTGTGCAGGGTTTGCTACCAGGCACACAGAGAGGCCAGGAGCACTCTCCACCCCTGGTTCACAGGGTCCCCGCCTCCTGTGTTACCTGACACCGGCCCCTCCCTCCCACTCCTGCTCCCAGATCCCAACCCCTCCCTTCCTCCCTCCTATCTTCGGGTACCTGGGAGGAGTGGTGCCCGGCTTGGAAACTGGGAGACAGCTGTTGAGGAAGACTGATGACTTCAAGGGGTGGCCTGTGTTTTGCTGGTGGGGATGAGGTCTTCTGACAATCCAGGAGCAAGTCCTTAGTATCTACATAGAGGGGCAGGCTCTAGCACTTTCTAACTTTTCTGAGCCCCGCTTGGGTACTGTGTGACCTGGTCAACTCATCGCTCCTCTGTGACTCTTGGTTTTCTCGTCTGTAAAATGGGAGCAGTAATCTCTGCCACTGATTATTTTAACAAACATTTATTGAACACCTCCTATGTTTCAGATGCTGTCCTAGGGGCTAGGCACACGGCAATGAACAAGACACAAATGCTGGCCCCAAGTGAGCTTAAGTTTAGTAGAGGGAGACAAAATAAAATAAATAGATGGATTATTAGAAGTAATAAGCATTTGGGGGTGATTCAAGCAGAGAGGGTGGGAGTGGGAGGGTCTACGAGGCTTCCGATTGAGCTTTTTAACCTTTTTTAAACTTTTTTCACCCTACGGACCCCTTTGACAGTCTTAGAATAATGTTTTTTAAGGACTAAAACAAAACGCAAAGGATTACAGTGGAAACCAATTGTATTAAAATGTAGTTAGGAAGATGTCTTTTTAAATTGTGATAAATGTACTGCTTTGTTAGCCTATTAAATAAAAAGATCTATCAATGGGTCTGATGACGACCACGATTTTGAAGTTGTAATGAGTATAAAAGATATTTAGAGACATTTGCAATATCCGTAATGCAATATGCAAATATCTGTGACATCTATTGTGACGAGGTCGCAGGGACTGCTGTAATGCCTCTGTGGTTTGTTGCCTGTGTTCATACTCGAGAGATGCTAAACTTCATTTGGAGGTTAGGGACAATGCCACTGCCTTTCCTTTTCCTGTCCCAATTCACAAGCCCACTCAGTTCTAAGAGGTGGCCACGGATGCCAAGTGAAAAACGACTACTTTAGATAAAGTGACCAGGAAGGGCTTCACTGAGAAGGTGACTTTTCAGTGGAGACCTGAGGGAAGCGAGGTGAGAAACAGGAGCACTTCGGGAGACCGGGGCCCATCCGGCCTGGGTGTTCAGAGCCGGGTCCTCCTTCTCTGGGTTGTCCCCCTAAACTCCCCATTAGCTTCCTGCCCAGCAGGACCAAGGAGGCGATGGAAGGAGATGCCCCAGGAGAGTACCTGACTGGTGGGGGCGGGGTGTCCAGGAGGGACATGACCTCAGAGTGAGGGAAAGAAGGAGGGGCCTCTGGGGGGTGGGCAGAGAGCCTGAGCCCACCTGCCTGGTATTGCCCTAGACTTTTTGCAGGTCGTGTTTTCAGAAACCATGGAAGGTGGCCCCGTGGTCTGAGAGCAAGGGGCCAGGTTTGTCTCTCTGACCCAGGACTTCAGGGGCAGAGGCAGTTTGCATTTGCATCTTTTCCTCTAGCCGGCTGGCTCAGGAAAATTCTTCCGAGAGGCCAACTCTTTCTAGTTCCAGCCACACCTCAATTGAAACCCCCCGCCCTTCTCCACCTCTGGTGTCGCAGAAGCTTTTGGGTTCCTGCATGTGGCCCCGGCACCCTGGCTGGTTTACCTGGGTTCTGGAGTCTCCTGTTTCTGGAGCTAGAGTTTTCACTTGATCACCAAAGCAACAAGTACCCAGAGAGAACCATGCAAAGGGGACCATAAGCTGTTGGACCCACCCTGAGTTTTCACCTCCCACCTGTGAAACGGGAATATGAAAACTCCACCTGCCTGCCTTGGCAAGTCATTGGAAACACAGGGACAGCAGTGGGGTCCACTTGAGCCGCCCCCCTTGGCACCCACCCTGGGCCAGCCCTCGGGGACACAGGTGCCCCGGGCCATTGGCCGCTGCCCTCAGGGAGTACCCAAGACTATAATTGGGGCCCGAATATAGGAGTGCTTAGACGGGGAGGCGAAGTTTGACTTGGGGGACCAGCAAAACTCCCACACACACCCTCCCAGTTGCATTCATGTGAAGACTTTGATGATAAGGCAGGGTCCGGGGAGCGGGGGCCTGGGGGGCAGCCCTCGCTTCAGGAAGTGTTGGGAAAACTGGGTTGGTGTTGGGAAAACTGTGTTGCCCTTTGGGGAAAAAGTCTTACTTTATACCACACAGACTGGTAAACCCCCAAGAGAATCAAAGAATTACATGTAGAAAGTAGAGAAAGCGCTATTTATCAGAGGAAAACCTTTATCTGCTTGTTACATGAGGAAACTTGCCTAAAAATGAAAATGATAGGAGAAATCACGAACTAGAGATAGAACTGAAAATGCAAAACAGCTCGGAGTCAGAAAGCGAAATGTAAAGGCCAGTGAACTGGGAAACTGCCACAAACAGGACATGGAAAGTGTTAACAAGCTTAATATAGAACGACTTTTTATAAGCACTAAAATAATAGGAAAGTGTAAGAGAACATGAAGCCATAATCTGTGTTGGATTAAGACAGATAATAAACATAAAAAGTTTCAATCTCACTCGTAATAGAAGAAAGGCAAGCGAAGTCTGGAGCGTTGAAGAGATCTTCCACCTCGATAGACGTGGTAGCGATGCCGATGGCACCAGGGTGACATTCGGCCTCAACCAATCACCGTGACTCTCCGGAGAGTCATCTCACTAGAGAGATCAATACCCCTAAATACATCCCAGCCCTCTGATGCGATGAAATCACTCACCACTTCTTGGAATCAATGCTAAGGAAATAAGCAGAGATGTAGACAAAGGTTTTTTTTTTTTTTTTAATAAACAGAAGGTCATTTGCGTTTTATTTTAAATGGTAGAAAAATAAATTCTTATTTTAAAGTTATTTTCCCCTCTCAGGAATTTTGAATGGAGACTTTGGAGCCAAATGTCTATCTAAAAATAGAATAGAGTTCTGGAAATAACAGTTGTGTCTACAAATGAAATGTCTGCAGCTCCCAAATCAGTCCTTTTCCACCCCCCAGCCACACACACCAATAAGAAATTAGCAGCGCCATAACTACCCGAGAGTAAGGAGATGCATAAATAAAAGATGAGGCTTCCATGAGTTGAAATATTTTGCAGCCATTAAAAATGAAATTTATGAAGAATTTTTAATGACGTGGGAAAGTGCTTATATATAATAAGTGAAAAAAAACGGTACGAAAATATAGATTTTTGCGCGTACCCACACAAAAAAGAATTGGAGGAGAAAACACTCAAATGGTAACAGTGGAACTATGGAACTGGCTAGTGGAACTATGTGTGGTTTTTCTCTTCGTTTTTTTATGTTTTCTGTGTTCTCAAAATTTTCTACAAAGATCACTAATTACTTTTAGGAAAAAAAATAATGTACCCGTCCTCACTCGCCACCCCAAAATCACAAGGGTCTCTGGATGGAAGGAACAGCATGAACACAGGCTAAGAAGCGGGGAGGTAATAAGCCAGGGTGGCCGGCACGGGGTAGGGGGTGTGTGTGATAAGTTGGTGCCAGACCTCTCTGAGCCTTGAATGTCGACCTTAGCAGCTTGAACATCACACAGAGCCCTGTCTTCCATCCAGGTTCAAAGGAGAGAGACCTGCCCCTTCGGGAAGGTTAGAGATTTCCCGGGGAGGTGCACAGGGTGTTGTGAATGGCCCCAGGTGCCAACCTCCTGCCTTTATTCCCCATTCCTCCCAGGGAAGAGTTTCACACTGACCATCACTGTGTTCACCAACCCTACCCAAGTGGCCACCTACCACCGAGCCATCAAAGTGACCGTGGATGGACCCCGGGAGCCCAGACGTAAGTGCCAGATCCGCTGAGTCCCCTGGGTAGAGGAGGAGGGTCCAGCAGAACTACTGCAGCTGAGGTCGGACAGGTGGCACTAGTTCCCAGGAGCGTGCCCGGGGGAGTCGTGGTCCTCGGTTCTGTATCTCCACACACTGTGTGCCAGCAAAGCCCCAAACCCTCTGTGCTTGGCTGGGACCGGGACTGAGGGAGGCTGGGAGCGGGAGATGGCAGGGTCAGTTGACCCCTTCCCCCATTGGATGCCTGCCCATTGGGAGCCAGCTAGGGTGTATGGATTGCATTCATTAAGGAAAAGAAAAGCCTTCAGATAGGGTGTGTGTGTGTGTGTGTGTGTGTGTGTGTGTGTGTGTGTGGTGTTTGAGCCAGGTGTGCTCTACTCCACCCTAGCTTCCTCTTCCGGTGGCTGAGGGAGGGAGCCATCCAAGGAAGAACTTGGTCTGGCTATGAGGCCAGGTAGCCTCCTTGGAAACTCTTTCCTTGAATCTCAGTATGTGACTTGCTCAGGTTGCACAGAACCCAGGCACTCTGACCCCAGGACCCCACACTATCAAGATCAGGAATGCAAATTTGATTCTGCAGTTATATATTGAGCACCTACTATGTGCAGGGAGCCTTTCGCTGTGTATTTTAGCATCGAAAAGAGTTTATGTTTAATTGCTTCTGCCTGCTGAAGGACCTGGAGTTTGCAGATTCAGACTGGAAAACTCGAAGGGCAGCTGCCACAGAGTGGGCCAGAGGCCTGTGTTCACTGGATGAATGAGTGAGTGAGTGAATGAATGCATGAAACAAAGAACCATCTGGCCATCTCTGGACTGGCTGCTTCCTGAGCTCTGACCAAAGCTTTTGTCTGGACTGTCCCTTGCTGATGGTTTGCTAGCCTGGCGTGTTGAAAGCTGCCCTATCCTTTTTTTTTGTAAGTGTGGCCCTCACGAGGATCATGGGATCCTCGTGACAACAGAGCCAAAGGGTCACCGGCTTCTAGTAAGGAGAGAATTGAAGCCTGGGGACATTAAGATCCTGGCCAGGGCCTCGCACTGTCTTAGCTGCGGGGAGGTGCCCAGTGTCCCAGAGACAGCCTTTGATCTTGATTCCGGGTGGAGTGGACCAGGGGCAGGAGCACAAGCTCCTGGTCTCTCTTCAGTGCCCAGGAAGCTCACGACAGGAGTGCGACTATGCCAGGGCGTGGCCAGTGAGGGCCACCCGGGCCCCGCCTTGGGCTGACTCCTCCCTTCTTAGGAATCAGGCAGGCCTGACTCCCCATCCATCCAGTCCTGGGCCCATCCAGCATCTGGCCACTTGGGAAAGGCTCAGAGCTGGGCCCAGTAGTGGCCCGGAAGAGTCCCCTCCAGGCCTCTGAGGGCCACCTCCTCAGGCCTCCCCTGAACTCCTGCACATGGTCATCAGGCCTGAAGGCTCAGCTCCCAATAGGTACCTGCTTTGGCCAGATTTCTGCTGGGATTGGACGTGGGCAGGTCCATGCCTCTGGCCTTGGGTTTTGTGGCTTTGGGCAAGTCACGTCCCTTTTTTGCCTCGGTTTTGTTGTCTGTGAACTGGGTCAGTGGCTCCAAAAGCCTCGAGGTGGTGATGGCTGGGAAGCCACAGGCCATTGTGCAGAGAGCAGATTCTGAACCAGCTTGCTCGGCTGGGGGACCTTGGGCAAGTTGCTAACGTCTCTGGGCCTCAGCTGACTCCTCTAGGAAGTGGGGTGGTACTGCCCACCCCAGGGGCCTGGGGATCAGTGCTGACAGGTGGGTAGCATCTGGCTATAGCAGAGGGAGGGTCCTTGTGAGTCACTGAGCTGTAATGTTCTGTTATCCCTGGTACCCGGCCACCCCCTTCCACTCCCACCGTTAGGAGGGCTGCCGAGAACCCCAGGCCGCGATAACAGAGGTGTAAGTTTCTGCGGAAGGAAATCACATGCTACTCTAAGTCTCCAGGGGCAGATCAAGATGTACAGGACGCACAATTGGGCTCAACGTGATGTTGCAGCACTTAGAAGCCACTCCACAAAGCAGTGAGCACCCAGTGCTTAGAGGTATTTGAGCAGGGTGGGGGAGGGGGAGCTTAGAGCCTGGTGGGAGGTTCCCAGGGGTCTGGCAGTGCCTGGAATCCCTCAGAGCCCCCCACGTTCACCCCACCCAGCCCAGAGCTGTCCAGCAGCCCCCACTGAGGCCCCTGGATGAGGGTGGAAGTTTGGCCCTGCCCTTGGGAGCCCCCACCCAAATCTCCTACCTGCTCTTCTCTCCTAGGGCCCCCCGGGCCTGAGTCAGCCCCTTCTTGGGGTGAGCTGGTGGGAGAGGGAGTGGTACAGGAAGAGGCAGCAAGAGGAAGGGAAAGAAGCCCGGGCGGGAAACTGGCCCGAGTCAGGCCAGGATTGCTGCACACCCCGAGGCAGATGGCGTCCCTCTCTGGGCCTTGGCACAGGCCAAATCAGGGGTTTTTTTTAATAGCGAAATCTTAGCAGAAGCTTATTTATAGAAAACGAGTGGGCCAGTCCTCCACGCCTCCCGTCCTGAGGACCTGCTTGCTCCTGCCCTCACCCCCAGCCCCCAGGTCAGGTCTCACCTGCACCTTAAGTTCCAGCCCCGGCCTGGCCTTCAGCTTGTGACCTTGGACAAGTTCTCCCTGTTTGCAGGCTTCCGTTTTCCCAACTGTAAGAGATAAGAGGCCAGCTCAGCCACTGCTGGTCACCCAGCGCTCCCCGAGTACCAGGCCCTGGGCAGTCTTCATTAATTGATCCTTAGCAGCCCCAGGAGGAGACAGGCCAGGAGGCAAAGCCACTTGCCTGAGGGTGAGCTGCGGTGTCCCAGAGGCTCTAGCCTGGGGCTCAGAGAAAAGAAGGCCACTCGGAAGGGCCTTCCCACCTCTGTGTTCTCATCTGTAAAAGCGGGATGAAATGAGCATCTTCTCTGTGGAGGGCTTGTGAGCATTAAACCAGCTGACAGTTGCCCAGCCTGCAGGAAGGGTCCAACGAGCCTCACGGATTATCACAGGATTTCCTTTCTGGGCCTTTCTCCTGCTTGGTGACCCCCGGGCCCATGTGAGGGCTGAGCCTTCTGTGGGGTGGGAGTGGGCACTCGTCCTGGGAGCCAAGGACTGGAGCCTGCAGATCCCTGAGGCCGCTGTGGGTTCTGTGGCCAGGTCGTTCCCCTCCGGTGCCCTGCAGAGCGTGCCCAGTCGGCAGCCAGGTGGCCGGCTTGGTTTGAAGGCTGGCTTGGTGGCTTCCTGCCTGTGTGGCCTCGGTTTCTGAGGTTCTCAATGCTGGTGTCCCTCACAGTCACTGGGGGCTGGTTAAAAAACTGGTGGCTGAGCAGGATCCTGGATAGGGGGAGGAGGCAGGACAGTGCTGGTAGGTCTGACATGGATCATGGTTTGGGAAGTTGCTCACCCCGGGTCTTCCAGGCTTAGCAGGCGCTGGTACCTGAAGGAGTAGGATGCAGAGTTTTAATCCTGCGTGAGGCCTTAGGAGTCTAGGGAAGCAGCCCCGGCGTCCTGTCTGTGGGTCCTTCCCAGAAATGTACGTGGAATGATTTCAACAAATATTTTCCTGGGCACCTACCATGTGTCAGACCCAGTTCTGGAAACTGGGGACACCGCAGCGAACCCAACAGTTGGGCTCTGGCCCTCTTGGGTCTCACACACTAGGGATAGAGCGACATGGTAAACAGTGCGGGTGTCCCCGTGGCCCGCAAGGCCCCGCCTGGTCCGTGCCCGTGACCCTCTGCCCGCTTCTCAAACACTCTCCTCCTCACTCACTCCAGCCCGTCCCTGCTCCTGCCTCAGGGCCTTTGCACTGCTGTTCCCTCTACCCAGAACTCTCCTCCTGAGACACCCCCAATTCGTGGCTCGCTCCTTCCCGCAGCAGTGCCCCGACTCCCCCTTATACTTTCCGGCTTTCATTTTACCTCGAGCACAGGTCGCTTTCTAAGATGCGATTATAGTTCACTCATTTATTTATTTTTCACCTTCCCCCACTGTGTGCTCCACAGGACACAGGTTCTTTCCTCTGCTTTGCCAGGCGCTGGTCTAGACCCCAGAATACAGACGCGAGCCCTTAGTAGCTGCTCAGTAAATATGTGTGGAATAAATGAAGTAAACAAATGATGAGCTAATTTAATTTCAGGTCATGTCAAGTTTTATAAGGAAAAACAAAGCTGGGGGCAGAAGGAGACCGGAGAGTGTGGGGGATGGGACATGGCAGGGGTCGGGGACAGGGGAGACCTTTTGAAGAGGTGATGTTTGAGCAGCGGCCTGAAGGAAGTGAGCAAACAGTCATTGTGGCTGCTGGGGGCGCCAGACAGCATGGGCGAGAAAAGTGACTGTAAGCCCGCAGGTGGGCCTTGGAGGGTCCTAAAGTTGCCACCATTTCATTCTCAGCTCCAGGTGTGGGGAGGCAGACGGATGTCCCAGTTGAGGAGAGCCAGCTGCTCCTGGTCCCAGCACCCAGGACCTCCATGACTCCCAGGGGAGTGCTCCCAGCAGGAGGGAAGGGGTTAACGTCAGACCTCCCGGGTTCCCCTAATCAACCCCAGGCTGATGGGAGAGCCCCAGTTACAGCCCTGGGAGGGAGCCACTTGCCTCCCTGCCCGCTGGCCCCCTGCCAGCCACCGACCGGCTTTCATCTGCTCACAGGGGGCCGTTCACAGCAGACCACCCGGGGCCCGGCACCCGCCTGCGATTCCGATTCCGCGCGGTTGTTAAGAGTCGGGTGTAAATCTCCTGACAGGCCGCAGAGTGGGCCTTGGGCCCAGGTGCCCCACCCCGTGGCTGGGCAGACAGTGGCTGCTGTGTCTGGGCTGTGGCCACACCAGGGGCAGGCCAGGCAGCCAAGTGGCTTCAGATGAGTGAATTATGGGGCCCACATTGTTCCCCGCAGATGACCCTGTGCTGCAGCCCTGCGCAGCTCTGCCGCTCCCTGCTCCCCATTGCCTGCTGGCCTCCTGTCCCCCTCCACCCATCCGAGGCAGGACACCAAGCTGGCCTCTCGCCAGTCAGACACCACTGCCAGGCAGCCCAGCTCTCCCCTCTTGGAGGTCTGGGGGATGATAACCATTTTAAAGGTGTGGAAACTGAGGCCCAGAGCGGGAGAGGGACTTGACGGGTTAGAGTAGGGTGTGATTAGAGAGTCAGCTCTCGGTGCTGAGCTTCGGAGCAGGGCAGGGCCCTCGAGGAGTCCGCTGAGACCCTGTCATCTTCCCGTCCCCAGGCCCATCCTCCTGGACCTGCAGAGAGCTGCTCTGGGCCCATCATCTGGAGACCCTGATTTTCAAACCCCAGGCTCCTTCCCGGCAGAATAGGCTTCAGGAAGGGAAGGTGGCCAGGTTCCTTCTGTGTGACCTCAAGCATGTCACTGAGCATCACCCAGCCTCAGTTTTCTCACCTGTAAAATCGGGACAGTGGTAGACCTCCCTCGTGGGATGATGCAGGGTGAAACGAGGCAGCACACATCAGCTGCTCAGACACTCGAGCATCGGCCGCTGAGCACCATTTCCACGCCTGCTCTCTGCTGCGCTTAGCCTGCAGAGGCACCATGGGGACTCAGTGCTGGGAGAGGGGACTTCCTGGAGGAGCGACTCCTGGGCTGAGCCCCAAAGAACAGGAAAGCATGCTTGGCCAGGGCTGTGCCTGAGGTGCAGATCTGAAGTGTGGGAGGCAGACAGTACTCGAGAAACCCTGAGCATAGCAGCAGTATGGTGGTAGACAGGCCCTGGAACGTGCAACCCTGCCGCCTTTCCTTCTATGGCCCCAGTCTGGCCAGTGGCCAGTCCTTGTGATCTTAAGTCAAGGACTTTCAAAGCTAAAGGGACCTCAGTGAGCAGCCTATATAGACGGGAAACTGAGGCTCAGTGTGAAAAAGCTGGGCCCAGGTGACCAAAGGAGCCAGGCCAGAGATCCCCACCCAGCTGCCACTGTGGGTAGCCAAATGAAAGAGCTCTATTCTGCAGGCCCATCTTCCTTCCTCAGGCACAGGAAGTTCCGTTCTGCTTCCAAAGTGAAGGCCTGGGCCCCATGGTGCTGAGACTCTGGCACCCTGGGCGTGTGGAGCCGCCTCCGCTTCCCTTTGCTCCTCCCCGACAGCGGTTCCTGCCTTCCCCAGCGATGGGAGCAATTCCCGAAGTGCTGTTAAAACTTCCCTCCTCCAGGAAGTCTGCCGTATGTGAAGGCAGAAGCGCTCATGGTGGGAGAATGTGCTCCGGGGCCAGATGAGGTAAATCTGGGATTTATATCCCAGACCAACCACTTAGCATAGGTCTCATCTTGAAGCCTCGGTGGCCCCGTCTGTGCAATGGGAGCAAAAAGGAAAGTGTCATGAGAAAGAGCAGAGAACTTAGAGTCAGGGGTCTGCGCGCCGATGCTGGCTCTGCTGTCCAGGCTATTGTCCCAGACGTGACTTACCCTCACAGTCTCTAATGTGGAGATGGTGATCCTGACTCTCTTGCCATGAGCTGGGGTAGAAGTTACAGTCGAGATGGCAGTGACCCATGTGGGTGGAGCATGTTCACAAACCTTGTTTGGCCAGTACCACGACCTGTGAGGGTGCCGTGATGGGGACACTGTGGCTTGAGATGTGGGCAAAGGAGTGTGACTTTAGTGAGGCCACCAGGCTGCAAGCGGCAGGGCCCATCTTCGAACCCAGGCCCGCTGTGAACCCCGCCCTCCTTCCGCTGGGCCCCAGGAGTAACTGTAAACACTTCGTACACAGTGTGACTCAGAAACAAGACTTTATTCGCTGGCGATGATAATAATAAGGGCTGAGGTTTTGCACCAGCTTCTGTGTAGCCCCATTGGCTCACTTCAAGCTTGCGGTTGACTAAGACACCCAGATCCTTTGCACCTAAGCTGTTGTCAGGTCAGTCTGCAGTCTCCGGCTCCATCAGTTGGCTTCCTGCCTGTTGAGATTGTTCTGAATTCATTTGTTCTCCAGCTCAGCCACCTCACTCCACCATTCTTGGTGGCTTCAGCAGCAAGGGCAGCATTTCCTCCAAGGCCCATCACGGCTGACGTCGAGCCTCCTGGCACCCCCCTAGAGACCACCTCCTGAGGGGCACCCATGAACCAGTCCTCAGTAGCTAAGGTTACACAACCAACCAGCAAATGAACTTGGAGGTTACAGACGGGCAGCCCCTGAGCAAAACCCATTCTACGAAGTGGTCGGTCTGGCTTTTTCCTCCCAGTATTGGAATTAATTGTTGACGTAGAAAACATAGGTGATTTCTCGTAAGAGCAGGTTTATGGCTTCTCCTGGTCAGTTAGAAACTCTGGCAACACTGGGCCTACCCCCACTGAGTCAGCTGTCAGCTGGATTGGATGGCGACTGTCCCTTCTACAAGGTGCACCCTCTCCACTCTGCCCTCGTCCCCACCCATCCCGTGTGCCTCGTTTACATGACTTGTCCGTCCCTCACAGTCGGCCGAGTTTGCAGCCCCAGCTCCATCAGAACTCATGCCCAGGCATGTGTTCTCCTTTGTGGCCAAGGTTCCTGGGAGGCAGCAGCAGGGGGCCTGGCTGGAGGTCTAGTGGTTTCATTCCAGCTGCCAGGTGTCCCCTGGGCTCCAGGTGTGGGGACTCCTCAGAGGAGAAGGTGGGTTCCTTGGTTCTTGTCGACTTGCTGAGCCCACCGTGGCTCCCAAGTCTATCTGCTTCCTTTCTAAGGGCTCTCGGATGCCCATTTGAGCTTGTGGCAGGGGCGTGTAGGGGGTCCGAAGGTGTGGGGGTCCCAGAATCCATGGTATTCTCATTTTGAAAACCCCAAATCAGGCCTATTCCAAGGCCTCCAACTCGGTCCTTTCTTTCCTGGTGGTGGTCCTCAGTCATTTCTCACTTTTCCAGGACACAGGAAGGACAGTGAAGAGTTCGTTCTGTTTTACCCCCCACCTACTTCTCTCTTCTGTCCCTGTCAATCTAGAAAATTCCGCATGTCACTGCAGACCATGGACTCGGGCAAGACTTTCCTCTCCCTTGGCCCCTCCTCACGCTTCTTTTCCATGGCATCCCAGGTCCAGGAAATCCTCACCCCTTCCTCAGTGTGTGACCTCGGACAAGCCTCTTCACCTCTTCGAGCCGCAACTCTCTTGCCTGTAAAAGGAAGGCGAGGCCACCCTGCCTTCCTGGCCTCCTCCCTCGGGGGCCGGGTGGAGTGGAATGGGCCAGCCCCGGTGACGGGCTGAGCAGGAGAGCCCAGGGGTGCTCAGCCTTCTGCGTGAGCAGTCCATCGCAGTGTCTGCCCTGGAGAAATCCCCAGAAGCACGGGGGTGTGAGCAGGGACAGCCCTGGGAACACTCGTGTGAGGGAATAATGGAGGAAATTCAGAAATAACCTAAGAGCATATCCACGAGGGATGGCTGAGTGAGCTCCAGGGGACGTGACCCGCAGGAGCAAGGGGTGGCCGCCAGCATCGCAGTGCAGTCTTCCTCGGACTCCTGAGGCTTTGCAGGAACTCTGTCATTTTCTTAGGGCTGGGTTACCCTCCCCATCTTATAGACAAGGACACTGAGACGGTGTTCCAGGGTGCGCTCCTGAAAAAGCAAGTTACAGAACGATACAACCAGGTTGAGGTCATTCAACAAAGTTCCATGAGAAACTTGCTCTGTGCTTTTCATGCATGTGAAACCAAAAAGAGGCTGGAAGGAAAGGTCTCCAAACCGATCACGTGGGGACTTCTGAGGAGGGGTTTAGGGTGGCTCAAAGCCATAGCTTTATGGGTAACGCTTTTATTCTTGTAGATAGTCACGTGTTGCTTGTGAAATGTAAAACAGGTCATTGAAAAGTGGTATGTGTGTGTGTGTGTGTGTGTGTGTGTGTGTGTGTGTGTGTGTGTGTGTGTGTGTGAGAGAGAGAGAGAGAGAGAGAGAGAGAGAGAGAGAGAGAGCGGGGGGGGGGTCTCCGATGTCATTCAAGAAGACTTGAAGTGGCCTTGGCTGGTGACACAAAGGCAGGGACATGACCTCCTTGACCCTGCCCGTACCTCTGGAGCCTAGAAAGCAAGGCCGGGGTCCTTTCTGTGTGGGCCGTGGCAGAGGGGTAATGGAAAATGCTGGCAGTTTCTCCAGTGCAAGGCCCCAAGCCAGGTGCACTGGTTCCCTGTTCCCAAATTCCGGTCAGAGATGAGGGTCCAGACCCTCAGTAAGGCACCTCACCCTCTTTTCAGCATCCTGGTGAATTTTCCTTCCGTCTGAGGCTCAGAGAGGAGAAGGCACGTGCTGGGGGTCCCGGGGTGACTCAGGGCTGGAGGGGACAGCGGTCCCATTCTAGGGCCACCTCCCATCATTCTTGCAGATGTGGAGGGTGGGGTCTGGGATGCTGGGGGGCAGAGGGTGGCAGTACTCCTGGGTTCTCTTCCTGGCCCCCACGAGAGCCTGCTCGAGCCGCTTGCCCATGCTTGTGGCCTCAGTTTCCCCTTCTGCCAGTGCGTTGTAGAGATTCGGCTATGAGAATGAGTATTCCTGCTCGAAAAGATAGGGCTGAGATCATCATGGCAGCCCCAGGGCAGCACATACGACCATTCTCTGTTCAGAAAGTCTTTAGAGAATCTCGGAAAAGAGGTTGGTAACCTAAGGATTCTCCCTACAGAGGCCTGAAGTTAGACCTCAGGGAGAACGTCCCAGCAGAGCCAGGCAGTTCTTTTCCCCTGAGACTCTTGGGAACCAGCTGCTGACAGGCTCCCCATGCTCTGCAGGGCACCGGCAGAAGCTGGAGGACCAGACCAAGGCGTTCCCTGACCGCTTCGGGGACCTGGAACGGCTGCGCATGCGGGTGACACCGAGCACGCCCAGCCCTCGAAGCTCGCTCAGCACCACAAGCCACTTCAGCAGCCAATCCCAGACCCCCATCCAAGGTATAGTACAGCGGAGGCTGCGGTAGGGGGAGGTAGACGGGGACTTGGACGTGGTCCTTAGACGTGTGTCATTCACTGTGCTGCCGTTGCGTTATAAAGGAGGCAGCTGTGCCCATTCGCTCCGACAGGTGTTTCCTGAGGGATGCTGAGTGCCCGAGCCTGGGGTCTGCCCTTCATTCATTCATTCACTCGGCAAACATTTATTGGCACCCACTGTGTGCCAGACGTAGCTCCTGGCCCCAGAGATCAGCATGAACGGACATGGTCCCTGCCCTCCAGGAGCTCACTGTCCCCTGGGGAAATGGGCGTTAATCTCATAGTACGCCCATTAAAATTGAGGCATGACTGTCCGAGGAGTCTGAGGCAGACATGTCCCTGCTAAAGACACCATCCCCACCCAAGGCTCAGCTTTCTCATCTGAAAGTAGGGTGGTGGATGCCTCTACCCAGGGTTAGGGTGACAGTCAAATGCCGTTACTGAACTCAAACTGTAAAGTGATGTTGCAGCCCTGGAGAAACACACAGCATTGCCCGGGAAAGGCCCCGCCAGCCCAGAGACTCCTCCCAAACAGAAGGGAGGTCCAAGACAGGAATCTCGGTCCGCATTGTCTGGATGGATTCTGCAGGCACAATCAAAGCTAGATCTCAGGCAGGCATTCCAGAGCAGACAGATGCCTGGCCCATAGCAGGTGCTCAGTACCTGGTTGGTTGATGAATATTTACCCTTTGCAGGCTCTGTCAGCCAGTGGGTTTAGGCCCAGGAGGCTGTGCGCTCGGTTGGCCCCTGGGCCAGGCTGGGGCAGAGAGCACTCCTTAGCGGTACTGAACAGAGGCAAGAGTGCTGGCTGCCATCTTGCACTGTGCGTGTCAATCAGTCCTCTAGAGCCTGGTTGGAACTCATCTGGCAGCTGCATGATTGTGGCAGACTTGGTGCGGTCCCTTAGTTTGAAGTGAAGGTCCTTTCCTTTCTGGCCTGGGAAGCCAAGCCTTGGCCCTGCTAAGGCGGGGAGAGGCCCCAGGTCCAGCTGCTCTGAGCCTGTGAGCTAGCAAGTTTGAGATACTCAGCAGCTCTTGAACCTGGGGGCTGCAGGCAGTGGGAGGTACTCTGCATTCTGGGCTCATCCCCACCCCTGCCCAAAAGCTGTCCATGCTCCCGTTGCCTACCAGCTATCATTTGTCAAGTCCAGTAGCCTAACACTTCAGACCTTATTCTGTATGAGCAAAGCCGGGGTGCATGGGGATATTGGGGCCCAGCCAGGGAGCTCCAGAATCTAGCAGGTCAGGGATAAACAATGCCTTCCGTTCCAGCAGCTCCCATGGAAGGGGAGCCCATCTCTGCGTTCCCACCACAGTGGGGACGTGGCTGGGGAATCAGTGCCTGAGGCAGCCTGCGGGAGGCTGCACACCCACTGTCCAGCCCCAAAGGGCTGAGTCTGGCCTGGCAGCAGGAAGACCTCCTGCCTCCACTCTGGGGCTGAGAGGAGAGGTGGGGCCTAGGTGGGGCGTGGCTGGCCCAGTCCTGCCCCTTTTGCTACACCGTAGGCAGGGCTCCCCAGGCCCTCCCTAGCCACCCACGGCACTGGCCCTCAGGCTGCCTGTGTGGCTCTTGACCCAGCCTGGCCTCCCCATCCCCAGGACTATCGCCTTCGGAGTAAGAGGAAGGGCTCTTGACAGCAAGGACCAGGGAAGGAGCATGGACTTGGTACTCATGCAGACCAGGCTTGGAATGCTGGCTCTGCTAGGCACTGGCTGTGTGTTCTTAAGCAAGTCACTTCACCTCTCTGAGCCTCATCTATGAAGTGGGAAGAAGGAGGTACCTGCCACAGAGGACTGTTGGCAGGGCTGGGTTTGGGGCCCTTTCATTGGCCCTCCCCTTCTGCTGGGATAAGCCTCTGCCTTCAGACTCCATCCTGGGGATCCCCTCAAACACTCCACCACCACTCCTCTTGGTGCCTGTTAATAGCTTTGACCCCCGGCTTTGGTCACTGTCAAGCAGTGCAGAGGCCCCGACTCTTCATACCCCAGCCCCCAGCCCCTGGCTGTGGCTGCCCACAATGGGGGCTTCTCACAGCTCAAAGGCCTCATTCAGCCACCACACAGCAGCTGGGGCAATTTGGAGAAGAAAATAAACATTTCCTTCCAGTGTTGGGATTGGCTGCTCGACAGCTGGTCAGCTCCGGTTTCCTGGGGCTCCTGGGCTGGGGGAGCTGAGGGGCAGGAGCCTCGGGGGTGCTGAGGGCAGATGCTTCCCCACCACCCTGGGAGGGAGGCAGAAGGGGACAGTGGCTGTCTGGGCAGGTCCAGCTCAGAGCCCGCAGCCCATGTGAACTCCAAGGCCACACATACCAGGCCCAGGCCCACCTCGCATGGCCTTGGCCTTGTGTTTCCTGTGCTGCAGCCCCACTGTCATATCCTGGGGTCCCTGTTTGGGTTTCCTTTGTTTTGAGAATGGAGTTCCTGTCAGGTAGGCAACACTCACTTCCTGGGCTCAGAGTGAAGGCATTAGCTTCATGCTTGGCTATGCTCGGGGTGCCAGGCACTGTCAACAAGGCCTTCCCCACCTGGGGTTCCCAGATGAGGGCAGAGAGCTAGGCAACTCTGACCCCCTAGGCTTCGAGGCAGCACCGACCAGACAAGAGACCTGTTAGGAGGGTACCAGGTGTTCCAGAAGGACACCTGCCCCCACATCCCCCGACGTTGAGCCCGAGAGCATCATTCCATTCTGCTCCAGGGCCAGGACTGGAGGCCACTGCTGAGGAAGCATCTCCAGCTGAGTTGGGAAGACCCCAAAGCCCAAACAAGTTACAAGTCTCATCTGAGGGCACGCAGATCTGGGGAAGCCAGAGGCCTGAGGGCATCCGTAGCTCTCTATCCCCAGCCGAGGGCTGTGCCCATCAGGAGCTGCCCAGAGGACAGAGGCTGGTCTCCGAGTCCTCTTTGGTGGAGTGGCACGGAGGAGTTGGCGCCAGACAGACTTCCCCTCGGGACCACTGCTGGGGGCTCATCCACTTCCCCGCTGCTGCCCAGAGTCACCTCCTTGGCCAGGGTACAAGGAAGGCCCAGGATCGGGCTCATTTTTGCAGGGCTCTGAATGGCCCAGTTCCCCTGGGTGCCCAGAGCAAGAGGTGTCAGAGCCACTGCAGCAGTGCAAACCCTCATCAGGCCTCTACTCTGTACCCAATCTAAGCAGTTTACGTGTATTAACTATTTAATCCCTAGGAGCTATTACTATCTCCATTTTTCACGTGGGAAGATTGATGCACAGAGAGGTTAAGTGACTTGTCCAAGAACACACAGCTAGTAAGTGTCAGAACCAGGATCAGTATCCAGCCACAGAGACCACACAGTTAGCCTTCGTTCTGTGCTGCCTTAGAGGTGGGACAGTCAGGCCCGTATCGGGGTTCAGGACCGGAACCGTAGGATTTTGTGCTAGGGTCCTTAGACAAGTGCCTCGCCCTTTCTCGGCCTCTGTTTCCCTTTCAAGGGGCTTAGACTTAATCCCAGGGCCCCTTTCACTGCTAAGGGTTTGGGTTCTATGCCAAACAGCGGGCAGAAGCTCAGATGACTCCAGTGAGGAACCAAACTGCAGGAGCTGGGCAGGGCCTGGGCTGGACACTGGGTCTCTTTTTGACAAGAGCAGGGCCTTGGCCACCAAGCACCTCTGGCTGCCATCTCAGGCGGAGGTGGCCTCTCGTTGTGCAGGACAGCCCTGGAGACGCAGGCCCGGGGCGAGGTGTGTGGGGCTGGGGAGCACACAGAGCCACTGCAGACTGAGCCCCCACCACACAGGCGTGAGCTCGCGTAACCTAACTGAGCCCCACCTGGGCAGTGGCAGGCCCGCACCACGCCCCAGCAGAGAGCAGAAGGCAGAGGTCTCATGAGGAGTTCAAGTCCTTTCTGCAGTGTCAAGAAAATTAGTCTTTGTCTCTGCCTCAGTTTCCTTACCTGCAAAAGCAGACTGCAAATCCCCGTCTCGTAGGGCCATTGCAGACCCGCTCCACACCCACGGTCTTGCCAGTTTTTAACCAGGAGGAAGGGAGGCAGAAGCTGCCGGGCCAGTCCTGCTGGGAGGCCGGTCTTGTCCTTGACAGCTACCCACACCTCCAACAGCCCGGGGTGGGGCAGGGGGGCGGCCAGCCTTCACCCCCTGACAGCTTCTGCACTGCTAGGCTGTGAAGAGAATTCCATTAGGTAAAGAAGAGCACCCCCACACTTCTGCCTGCCCAGGGAGGCCCTGTGGCCACCTGCAGCCCAGGTACCTGTTCCCACCCACTTCCCAGGTGGGGCCACGTTCAGAGTCAGGCAGGCTCCTGCCCCCGGGCAGCTAGGCCATTAAGAGCAGAGCCAGATGTGGAACAAGGAAACCCGCACCCCCTCACACGCAGGCCTGAGGTCATTCCTTCTTTTATTTTTTATTTTTTTTATTTTTATTTATTTTATTTTATTTTTATTGCATTATATTTATTGGTGTAACATTGGTTAATAAGATAGATAAGCTCCAAGTGAACAACCTTATAATACAACATCTATATACTCTATATCCCCGTGTGATCACCACCAGAGGCCCAGTCTGCTTCCGTCGCCAGGTATTTGACGCCCTTTACTGAGGTCCTTCTTGAAGAAGGCCACTGGGGAAGTGTCGGACTGCCACTGACCGTCCTCCTTGCTGTCCCCCAGGCACCTCGGACCTGAACCCTTTCACCGACCCCCGCCAGTTCGACCGCTCCTTCTCAGCGCTGCAGACCCTCCCAGAGACCCGCTTCACGGACCCCAGGATGCATTACCCGGGGGCCATGCCAACCGCCTTCCCCTACAGTGCCACGCCCTCGGGCACGGGCATCAGCAGCCTCAGTGTGGCCAGCATGCCGGCCACCAGCCGCTTCCACCACACCTACCTCCCGCCGCCCTACCCTGGGACACCGCAGAACCAGAGCGGGCCCTTCCAGACCAACCCGTCCCCCTACCACCTGTACTACGGTGCGTCCTCCGGCTCCTACCAGTTCTCCATGGTGGCCGGCAGCAGCGGGGGCGGCGACCGCTCACCCACCCGCATGCTGGCCTCTTGCACCAGCAGCGCCGCTTCCACGGCCGCCGGCAACCTCATGAACCCCAGCTTGGGAGGCCAGAGCGACGGCGTGGAGGGCGACGGCAGCCACAGCAACTCGCCCAGCACCCTGAGCACGCCGGGCCGCATGGACGAGGCCGTGTGGCGGCCCTACTGACCACCCGGGGCAAAGTGGACTGCTCCCGATGGGGACGGGGACCCCGAGAACCTTCCTGACGAGTGGCTGGCCCAGCTCCGAGGCTCGGGGCAGGAATGGGACCTATACTCTGTGGCGATCACGGGCCCAGGGTCCGTGGGTCCTGGGGCCCAGAGCTGGTGGGTGGCTCTGGGAGCATCTAGTCCAGCCACGTCTTTGTACAGAGGGCTAGGGACCGCCCCCAGCCCACATCCTAGTCGTCTCATCCCACTCTCCTGTGGGAAAAGTATCCTCTTCCTGCCACCTCCCCTGGCGACCTGGCCATTCCCAGCAATGCCCAGTATTGTCATGGGGCCTGGGTTTCCTGGGACAGAGACCATTGTCTGTTCCAGAGAGAGGCTGCATTTGCCCACACAGTTTGGCCTCTTATCCAGGGGGCCCTGGAAAGCCCTCCCCACCCCCACCTTCCTCAGAGACCCTGCACCCCAGGAGCCCAGCCCTTCCTCCACATTTATGCAAATTGATTCAAAACTGAAGGGTCTCCCCGCCCTGAGAGGGGTTCCCCTCATTGTATAGACAGGGAAGGGACCCATCCAGAGGACCCAGGAAATCACTGGCAGAGATGAGATGAGAATACTCCCAAGCCAGTCCCCCCAGCTCCGCTTCCCCACAATTTCTAACAGCTAAGAAGCCCCCATCCCTGTCCCAGCTATTTGTGGGTCCCAAGCCCCAAACTAGACTAGCCTATGGAGGTAGGTCCCTAAAACCAGGGAAAGCACCTGCAGACGAGTCCTCCATGCACTTTACCAGCCCAAGGCATTCACCTGCTGTTCTCTTGGTGGGGAGCCGGGGATTCCCCCTTCTCCCTAGGCCGGTCTCAGAATTGCCATTTTTGGAGAGAGCACAGGGACCAGATAGGTCCTGGCAGAAAGCACTGAGGTGAAGGGTCTCGCAGTCAGATGTCAGCACCCTCGTCTCACCTAGGCCCGGCCAAGCCGTGCAGACCCCCAGCCTCGTGGGGAGGCCCCGCCACATCTCCCGACCTCCGACACACATCTCCCCGTCTTTAACCAGTCTGTGCTCCACAAGCCGTCGTGAGCAAAAACTAGTTTTTAAAGCTGATTTCAGAAAACGAAGCTTCAGTCCAACATTTCCAAACACATGCTCTCTTACAGGTAAAGCCCCGTGATCCCGTGATAGCGAACAGTACCCCTTACCCCTCCCAGCGATTCCGTCGCTGGGACCTCAATATTTCCTCAAGAAGTCACATCCCTTCCATAGCATTCCGCCAACGTCCTTCAAAGGCCGGCCCAGCTGGGGGCCGAGGGGAATGCTGATGAGATGCTGGCATCGCATATCTGTGGCTCTTAGACACGTGCCCTGGTCCTGGTGGGTGGGAGGTGAGAGGTGGAGAGCAGTGGCTGCCTGACGGCAGAGCGGAGGAGCTGGCAAAGGCTCACCAGCCTCAGCTCGGCCCACTCTGCGCCGCTTCGGTCTGCAAATGGGACGGCAAGCCTTGCCCAAGGGGTCAGGCCGCGTGGATTCTCGTGTCTGAATTCTTTAATTCTAGAAAAGCGTAGGTGGAAAAGGGCAAGAAAACTCTCGTAAGGGGTAAGCAGCATGTGGTTTTCAGCAGTCGTTTCAGCCATATCCTCTGTGGATGTGGAAATCTCCCCTGCAGGATGCTCCGCAGTGGCCGTCTCTGTCATAGTGCTCGGCCTGCCGTACCAACCACAGCCCGTAACAACAGCCAGATGTGAACACCGGATACACACTCTGGCAGGTCGGGGAGTCCTTCTGGCGATCTTGTTTAAACCCCTCCTGCTGCGGTTTCTCTTGTCCTGCCCTCACTGGAAAAAGAGCCGTCTCCATCTCTTCACAATAGCTGCTGGGGGTGTCCTGCTGACTCCCTGCACCCAGGGTGGCTCCCCACCTCTTCTCAGGAAGCAGCTACAAACCCATTCTCCACGCACCTTCTTCAGTCCTATTCTCTGTGGTCGTAGACTGTGTGGGAGGCCCCCTCAGGTTCCCAGTGCCCAGCACTTTGTAGCCCCACCTCGGATTACTCCCCCTTCCTGATGTCCAAGCCCTGGTTGGGGCAGAGACAGGAAATAAATTGACCCTACCCCCCACCCCTGACTGGAAATGACAGCGGCCATGCCGAATCTGTGTTTAAGGCCCAGAGTGGCTACAGACGGCCTGGGCTTGTAGAAGGGTTTTTACTTACAAGGCTGCTTTCAAGTTGTACCAGGCAAACACACTGATTTAGAAAGCACAAGGAGACGAAGGCGTTTTGGTACCACGTTACTGTAAGCTTGGCGGTGGTGGGTACATATCCTTTGTGACATATTGTCATGCTGAGGTGTTAATACCTGCTACACTCATATCTTCCATAAAACCGTTCCAGAGCTGGGAAGAGGGTAGGGAGGGGTGGAAACTGCTTTGCACTATAATTTGCTTGGTGTGTTTGTTTTTAATGCACAACTTGCTTGTATAGTAAACTGTCTGTCTTCTGTACTATTTAACTGTAAAATGGAATTTTGACTGATTTATTATAATATAACTCTGAGATGTGTTGAAGGATCCCAATGCCGGGCTTCTAGGGCTGTGTGCATGGCGGGGGTGGGTGAGGATGGAGACCTCCCACCATGGCCGAGGAAGAATGGGCTGGGGCCTGGGGGCCTGAACACGACCAAACACACTGCTGTGGAGACCCCAGCGCTCTGGCCTCCCTGCATCAGCTCCATCAGGAATGGCCGCACAAACCACCCTGGGCAAGTGCAGCAGTCGAGGCCCCCTCCTGGTGTGGCCAGGACCCCAGAAGAACGTCAGGTCTGCAAGGCGCCGCCGCCCTTTCTCCCCTCACAAGTGGCCTGTGATTTTGCACGTGTAGGCAGAAGCTGTGCACCTCGTCCAGCTTTTCTCCCGGCTCAGAGTTGGGGAGAGGGCAGAAGCAGGTGGAGCATAAAGCAGCCTTGGTGAGAATCCCCTCTGGTACTTGTGTTTGCTGGGACAGTGGCAAGTTAACAGCAATCAGAATACAAAGCAAACAGCCATGTCATCAGCTCCCCCATTTTGCAGATGAAACACCTGAGGCGCAAAGAGAGGGTGTCATCTGTCTTCACATCTCCCTGGAGTGGTTTGTGGCTGAGCTAGGACCGTGGCCTGATGCTGGGGGCTATGGGTGTGATGGCGTGGGGACCTGTCTTAGCAGCACCCCACCCCCACCCTGCCAGCAAGGAAGCCTGGTCCACCACGCCTGTCTAGTTGAGACTTGTGGAGGAGAATTTTCATAAAACAGACCTTATTTTCAAGTGAAAGTACACACTTCAAAAGCCAATCCCACTTGGCTTTATTCAGTTAGGTTGGTCTGCCTGAAACTCAACACCCAACAGGAAGTTCCATTTCCCCAGCCTAACTCCACCCCACCCCCACCCCCCGGCATCCCCCCTGCCCAAGGGGGCAGCAGGTTCTTCTCTGAGCAGAATTCCAGCCATAGCTGCAGCATTTCATTCTGGGTGTGCTCTGAAGGACATCTGCCCAGGTGAGCAGGGCCGGTCCTGAAGCAGTGTCCACAGGCTAACACTCTGCTATTTGGGGTCACTTAGTGGAGATGATGGAGATTATGAAGGGACCACAGTTCAGGCCCCTCCTGACCAGTCTCACTTTGGTGCCACAGCTGGTGGGAGAACAGCTGTGGCCTCCATAGCCCCTGACTCAAATCTCCATTATCTTCACCCCACCGGGCACAATCTAGCACATCCAGTTTTCTCAAAGGAAAACTGAGGCCCAGAGAAGTCCAGGACTTGCTGGCAGTGGCACACAGTTTGAGAGCTATGCTGGGAAGCACTGCAGTAACCACAGTGGCCTGCAGGTGGCAGCAGGTGAGGCGGGAGTGGACCTTCCCCTCCAGAGAAGGATGAGAAGGGGCTGCCTCAACTGCAGCCAGAATTAGGTTAGGCATTAGCATTTCCTAATCTCAAGGCTGGGGCGAGTGTCTGGATGTGCAAGAAGTTTCCTTTCGTCCTTTAGCTATGTGGCTGTGAGAGGTCCCTGTCCCTCTCTGAGCTTCCTTTTTTATTCAGATCTTACATAGCACCTCCTATGTGCCAGACGTATAGCAGGATCACAGGTCCCGTGGCCCCCAGAGACCCTGCTTTGGGATAGGAGTTTACTGGGCTTAAAGGGACAGTTGACATCCCTAGTCCAGCAACCCCAGCCTCCTAGAGCCCTGGCCCCGCCTTCGTACCCCCACCTCTACCCCCAGCCACCAGCAAGACCTTAGGACAGGGTCAGGAGGCCATCTCGTTCCAGAGTCGCTTCTCTCTGGGCTGTGCCTGCAGTTTCTCCAGCCCCACTCCGGCCCCCACAGCCTGCGGCTGGCCACGGACAAGCTGAGAGAGGCAGTACTGGCTTTGGGGCTCCCAGAGACGGTCTTCTGGTCGTCTGTGCTTGGCACCTCCTAAGGAATGACGTGGCCCCCAGACAGACCTGCCCCGCTGGCCTCAGGGAGCAGCCCTCAAACTGCTGGACTTCTGGCCACGGAGATGGCTTTGGCTTTTATTCCAAGAAATGGACATCCTGGCGGGATTTTCTGGGCCTGAGATAACGGCGTGAGCCCAGGGGGAAAATCGGACCTCCTGAGGGTCTGAGTGGACGGCCGTGAGAGCTGTCCCAGTGTGTGCTCCACACCGGTGATGTGGAGCAGGACCGGGCTGGACACTGACCTAGGCCCGCCTCACTCCTCCCTTGCCTCAGACTGCACCCCATAAACACAGCCACCCAGGCCCCCACAGCACGGCCCAGGGGGCCGCTCTCGACCCCACCAGACATCCAGCCTGGCTATGCGAGCAGCAAATGCACCTCAGTGGGTCGGTTCATTTTGGGGTCATACATGAAACGAGCTGTCAGACACAGAGAGGTGGGGGGAGGCAGAGTGAAAGAACGAACTGTTCCATTCGGAAACCCAGAGAGCCCCCCAATCCTTTCCACGAGGGCCGGGGGGCTGGTGAGGGCCTACATCCCCCAACATTCGCACCCACACCTGTGTGGTCCAGCAGCTCGAGGAGCCTGGGGAGCCGGATTCCAGGCTTCCTATTTTTAGTTTTGCAGCTACACGCGTGCTGTTTGTTTTATATATTTATATTCACCCGCAGAGAGAGCCTGCCCTGAGCCCGGCGAGGAGGAAGCCCTCAGGCAGAGGGGAGTGGGGCAGCCCAGAGCCCGTTTTCTGGACCCACCCTTCCTCTGTGCCCAGGCCAGCTGCTGGAAACAGTGTGGCCTCATGGGGGTCCTAATGGGTGGCAGCCGTTCGGGCCGTGCCACCCCACTCTGCTCTCTAGGCCTGGTGTCTGCATGGACTTGGCTAGCGTTCATTTACTCATTCACCAAACATAGACCCAAGCCGCACCCTACCCTCCGCGTGCCAGACAGCCAGAAGGAAAGGCATGTGAAGTCGCAGCCATGCCCCTGAGGAGTTCCTAGAGCAGACAGACAGGAAAACAATTCAAACCCTTGGAATACACAGGGTGGGTAAGACCAGGTGGAGAGATGAACAGAACTTCACCAGGCAGAGAGGCAGCAGGAGGGCCTTCTGTGCATGCGCAAATGTCTGGAGAACAGGAATGTGGCTGAGCTGGAGAGGATGGTGGGGAAGACGGAATGATGGCGACGGGAGAGGGGAAGCGAGCAGGCCCGTGTCGTGGGAGCTGAAGGCCAAGCTGAGGGGCTTGGATTTGGTCCTGTGGGCACTGGAGAGCCCAGCTGAGGTATGGCGGCATATTCCAATGGGTGCGTTTGGAGGGGATCACCATGGCAGCACAGAACGTGGGCTGCATGGAGGTGCTGAGACCTGGTCTCAGGCTACTGCAATAGTCCAAGCAAAGGAGGGTGAAGCTTGCACAGATGGTGTGAAGAGGAGCTAAGCGTACCTAGGACATCTTTAGCACCGAAGTCCTAAGAAGGGCCCATGCTCCGTCTCTCAGGGATCATGGCACTTGAGGGAGCTACTTGGGACAAGATCTGGATAATAGTTTTTGCCATTGTGCAGTAACAACAGCCCTGCCATCTCCCCGGCCCCCGCCCCACAGGTTTTTAGTGAAGCCTTAAGTCCTGCCTCATGACAATCCCTTGACCGTACTCAAGGCCACACGCAGCCTCTCTGACTAAAAGTTCTAGGGTTCAGAGTCTAGTCCAGCCACCCTTACTCCTCTGAGACCCAAAGATTTAATGGTTATAAGACCCTGAGCCTGAAGTTCCCAAGTTTTATGTATTGAATTTTAAAATCACATAATCATGGGAGAAAAAGTGGATAATACAAATTACCAACAAGAACAAAAGGAAAATTACCCATAATCTCGCTCTTCCAGAGAAAACCAAAGTTATTCTTTTCAAGGGTTTTACTTCCCATCCAGGTCTTTATTTTCTATAAATATAGAAATACTTTCCTAAGAATAAACATTTTTCTAGCCAAGTACACAATGTATATGCAGTATATCAATTAATATAATTTTAAAATAGAAATAAAAGTAATCTAGAATGAAATCACTGGAAAGATAGTTTTCTTCTTCATATTCTTTGGTGTTTTTCAAGTTTTCTAAAAGGATAACATTTGGTAGAGGTATAGTATATTAAACTTCTATACCCTGATAAATATTCAAGCAAAGGAGTTCAAGAACATGCTTGGATGGACAAACTCATTTGATATTAGCTAATGTGTCACCTCTTCCAGGTAGCCTTCTCTGATAACCCCATGCTGGGTTTGGTGTCTTCTCAGGGCATTTACTTTGGAATCATAATCATAATCATAATCATAGCAGCTAATACTTCATGCCAGACACTCATGACTATTTTGCCATTTTTAATTCAGCCTGTTAAGGTATGTGCTACTGTTATCTCCATTTTACAGATGAGAAAAACCGAGGAATAAGATGAATCTTCTCTTAATCATAATGAGGGGAGAGTAATACCTGAAAAGATTGGGTTTAAACTTCCCATCAGCTAAAGGTATTGGAGGCTCAAAGTAAGAATGAAGTCGACTCAAAGAAAAAGGTCGCAATTCTTACACACCTCAGTTTGTGCCCCCAACTCAAACTTGCTACAAAGACTGATCTTCGAAGGGAAAAAGAAAGGAAAGAAAAATGAGAAAATGTCTTTTTTTTTTTTAAGCAGAGCAGAAAGAACATAAAGTTTCATGGCTCTTTCTCTGCTTCTGAGAGTGACTGTGTCTACCTTTCTGAGTTCTGATTCTAAGAGTTCAAAAAATGTAAAATCAAAAGAGACAAGTCACTGTCTCTGTACCCTCCAGTGACTCCTGTCCCATCCTGCCCCACTCAAGGGGACACCCTATGAATGAGACCCCCGGCCTCTTTATGGCAGGGCTCATTCACCCTGGATATGCACACGGTGGGAATATCTGCAGAGGTGGCAGTCTTGCCCTGTTTCACACAAGTTCCATTTCTTTTTCCATGAAAACAACTCAGTCCTAAATCACCGACGCCTGAAATTAGAAAAATACGAGGCCCATATTATCATAAAACTATTTTAACACGGTGAGGCCCTCTCGGTGGCAGGAGGGGTGGCCAAGAGCT